TACTGAGTCCTGATAGCCACTTGCTTGTGCAATGGATTGATGTTTTAAGTTCACTTGGTATTGTTTGTTTAAATCTTCTCACTGATGTTTAGGTCTGGAATAGAATGAAACGAGCGTCCTGGATTCCACTGCTAGCCATTTTCCATCTTTACTTCGAATGCTTGTGAATTAAGTCAATATCAAGGCAATGCACACAGTATTCACATATGTCAATGCCAGACTGGTCAATTGCAGTTCTAAACAACAATGAGAAGATTCAAGTAAACAATACCAAGTGAATTTATTTTATTTCCTGTAATGCTATAATGGTGAATAGCTTATTACATTTTATATAGATTTCAATTTATTCTATTTTTAAGATCAGTGATCAGTTCATATATTAATTCCAATCTTTTAGCATGATGTTAGTCAGATTACTGTTTACAGAAATCTAAGACTATGACAACTCATTCACTCGAACAGATCCTTTCACTAACTAGTAAGCATCGGCATGATATTTCGAAACGTGTTTCTATTTGGTGGTAAACAATTTTTGCTTAATCACGGCCTTTTAAACATGGTTTCATTAATAAATCTACGATAAATTGAAGAGGACGGCAAGTCTATAATTCATGGATGCATCAATCACGTTTGAGATAAAAGGTCTCAGATTTTGGCACGAAATTCATTCATCCGTTTGAATAAATACAGTCTTGGCATTAAAACTCATGTCGGTTCCTGATGACCCCAACCCCCAAATTTAGTTCCTTAACCTAAACATCAACTGTAAACCATGATTCTAATTTTTCATACTGATTTATAACCTTCATTCAATCCTTGTTACTAGGTGGGTATTTTCAAGGTTGTCATAACGTCACTCAAATGTCGTCCATAAATTATAGTCTCACCAAGAAAACTCTAATTTCAATCAATTATTATTACTCTTGACTATCATTATTATTACTGATAAGCTAATTGCTAAAGAAAATCATTCAATTACAGATATGAATGGTGCATGTTGCCTTCCTGAAATTCTAGTGAGAAGCCGTTACCAGTGGAGTTCAACCAGGTCTGCTGTGAGATATCAAGACAATGGTGTATGCTGGTGCAATTTCGTCGTTTGGTTGAAGTTAAACATTAAAACTGTTGGATTTCGGCCATCTCAGTGGTCTAATGGTTAAGCCTTAGCGCGCGAGACTATTAGGTGATGGGTTCGAATCTCGCGAGGCAGGGTCTTGGATGCGCGCTGCTGAGGAGTCCTGCAATAGGATGAAACAGCCGTCCAGTGCTACCAGGTTTTCCATAGTGGTCTAGCTTCAAATGACTCATGATTCTGACCATTGGAAACTGGAAGTAACAACTTTTTTTCTCCAATTTTCTCCTTCCTTCAACTTCTGACTCTAGTTCTATGATTTAAGATTTTGAAAGGCTATAAAGAAACTACGAAGTCATTCAACTGAAAAGAACGTTCTAATCAACTTCTTATATTTTTGATTGTTTTAATCCATAAAATGGATTTCTTTAATGGATATCAACAACTGACTAGCTGAAATGAACTCTGTTTGAAGAAATGCCGTAAAAATAATGTTTATGATTTGTGAAATTATTTAAGCTACTCTATATATGTTCTGTTATAAAATATTTTTCAAATCTTCGCAATTGAATTCACGTGTCAATTGAAGCTAGACCAACATGAAAAACCTAGAAGCGATGGACGGCCGTTTCGTTCTAGTAGGGGACTCTTCAGCAGTGGAGAAGATATGTAGCCCAGGTGGATGTAGGGCTTTCATCGTTCATGATGAAGGCTTTTCGTCCAAACCATCCAGCTCAGAGAATAAAACTCTATCAAAAACTCCTTAGCAGTGCTCATCCACGATCCCGCCTCGCATGATTCGAACCCAGTACCTTCGGCCTCGGGTGTGGATGCTTAACCTCTAGACCAGTGAGCAGGCATCCAACGGTGTTAATATCTAACTTCAATCTATCCATGATCTTGAGTTTTCATTCATCCATTGTATAAGGTAGATACCTGTTTCTATTAGACCTGAATCGGACTCCATTGTTCATGGCTTCTCACTATATCTCCAAGAAATCCATCATGAAGCTAGTTACTAATAAGCATATTATTATCAACAGTATGAGGATTCGTGGAAATTGTAGTATTTTAACAGTTGAATTCACGAGTCAATCTAGGTTGTGAGAGATCATGGATGCGCAATCTCAGGATTCCGCTGGTTCCGATGGTGTTATAGCTTAAATTGACGTATGAATTGAAGTATTAAAATTACTACAATCACCAAAATACTCTTTGCTGATGGTTTACATTCTTGTAAAATTGTACGGTTGTTAAATCCACTATGATAATCGTATATTATACAGTGGAATTTATTATTACTAACTTCAAAGCTTACTTTTGTCATAAATTATTTATTTATTTATTTTAACACATAAATATTGGTACAAGGAGGCACCAAATATATATGCACCAAACAAATCTCACTTGATATGTGTGAGGGCTGTGATACTCCCCGGGTGCCCAAACCGAAACAGGTGGTTTTCTTAGGGGAACACACCCGGAGCCATCAACCTGAAGGTCTGATCCACAAGGCAGTGGAGCATCGTAAGGAGATGTAGTCCCATGGTAACCGGTGACCAACAATTGTTTCATACGCCATTTGTTACCGCAGCATAATGGAGTCCATAAATATCTGTTTTAATTTGAAAGCTTGGTCTCTATGAGTGTATGTATCAACAATTTCAGATGAGATCGAATTCCATGACATTCTACTACAGATCGCCTTTAGTAACGTACTAATAATATCAGAAGGGGTTTTGTAGAGATTGTAGTAATTTCAACAGTTGGGATTGTGAGTCAATTGAAGCTAGACCACCATGGAAAACCTGGAAGCACTGGACGGCCGTTTCATCCTATTGTGGGACTCCTCGGTAGTGCGCATCCACGACCCCGCCCCGGGGGATTCGAACCCAGGACCTATCGGTTTCGCGCCAGGCGCTTAACCAACTAGACCACTGAGCAGGCTGAGGAGTCACACAACAGGACGAAACGGCCGTCCAGTACTAATAATACTTGGAAATGCATCATGCAAAGTCAAAGTGTAATTTAGCATAATAATTTGGATTTATTTTATACAAGTTCACCTATTTCTTGGTACTTTACAAATTATGAGACTTTATAAAACTCTAACTTAGAAATCATTGAATTTTTGAATGAACACTATGAAAGAGTTTAAAATTACTAGAAAAGAGTAGTTCAGTGTGGCGTAGATTTCAGTAGGTCTATGAAGAGGTGACTATTGAAATGTTAACTTTCTCTACAAACCAATTAGTTTAATGATAGAAAACTATCTAATGAGTCAAAATGTTATCTTCATTATTACAAATAGTATCAAAATACACTAGATTAGTCAATGGTCTCATCTAAGATTGAGCGTAAGACTTTAAAGGATCACAATGAGTATTTAACATTTAAACTATTGGATTAGCAATTATTCAACTGTTTCTGTAACTAAGATCAGTTTGAAATGGTAAACTAAAAAAATCCTATTGAATCAGGTTGTAAGATTGATCATAAGTCAGCTTTTGTGGTGTTGTACAAAACTGTAAAGGGGGCGTTTACTAAGGCTTATTGAAGCCTTAGCCCCCCTCTTTGCATTAAAAAAAACCCAGTTTGTTCTCACCTTAAGCCTACCCTGATAATATTAGCTTCTTTTTATTATTATTGCATAAGTGACCAGGTTTCAAATTGTTGTCACATTACTTCTTTATTATCCTTTGTAGTGACTCACATTTATCACGAGAACACGACTGGTTTAATAAAAACAATTATTATTATGACCAACTGTACCAGTGTTTGTTTTAATGTGCTTTTGTTTGACTGTGCTAATGACAGCTATATTGTGCTTGCATTCTGATTCTTACACTTTGATTGTGACTTCGCGCGAATTCGGTTACATTCTGTAACCAAGCTTGTATCCTGGCACGATCTCGGTATCCTATCGATACCACGAGATTGCCATCAAATATATCTCGACTCGGTCCATTAACTGCCTTCTAATATTTGGCTTCTCGGAGATTTTATAGATTTATTTGGTTACGTTCAACATTCGCCTTCTGATTTATTTGGCACGTGTTTCTTGGTAGTGGTGTTCATAGTTAATCCCAACTCGACGCCACGCTACAACTGGTGAGCCCTACATGATCGAGACTGCCGTCTCACGTTCCGGTCGCCGAATACGGTTGCCTATACGCTTCCGCGACTTGTCGCACAGTCAACAACCGATACGGTGTAGGACTATTCCTTTGCTACACGCATGCTACACTCTTCTCTTTTTTGATTTTCTTTTTGTTTCCTGAGCCCACGCCTTCGACCATCCTCGTCTGGTTCCGTCGACTTCAGTCAACTTTGGCGAAAGCTGGCCTGATCACCCACGCTCTTGTCAACGCACTCAGTCGATATTTTGGTTTCGAATGTTTGGCATACGCTTGGTCTCGAAATTGGTCGTTATGGTCACTACTCCTTGTCTCCTCTTACCTTCTATTTCTAGTCTACTTGAATTAACAAGTATAAAATGTGTAATCGGATTGTTCAAAATGTATTGCCCTAATCATATAGTTCTGATAATCTTCGCCTTCTTATTACACTATAGAAAATTATTTTCTAGACTATTTATCTCGTGTCGATAAAAGAAGATGATGAGAATATAATTTATGGACGACATTTGAGCAACGTTAAGACAACCTTGAAAATCTACACCTAGTAACGAGGATTGAATGAAGGTTATAAATCAGTATGAAGAATTAGAATCAAGATTTACAGTTAATAGTCAGAGTTGGGAACTTGATTTGGAGTGTGGGGGAGGTCATCAGGAACTGACATGAGCTTTAATGACAAGACTGTATTTATTCAAATGGATGAATGAATTTCACGTCCATAAATTCTAGTTTTTTTTCTTCGAAATATCATTATAATATAGATTAATTATAAAAATAACTGAACTTACTTTAAAGAAACCTTTACATCCTTCACATGTTCTTACACCATAATGTTGACATGCTGCATTATCACCACAAACTAAACATAATTGATGACAATCTGTTTCATTCATTGATATAGAATTGATATCATTTAAATTATAATTAGAAACTTTTGATAATCTAGAATTATTCGAACTAAATGATATCATTGATGGTGTAGATGTAGAAGATAATAATAAAGTAGACGATAATGATGTTGATGATGTTGTGGAATGTGTTGATGACGATGACGAAGATGATGACGTCGATGACGATGACGATGATGATGATGATGATGACGATGATGATGATGATGATGATGATGATGATAATAGTAATAATGGACTGATACATGTATTATGTCCATTACATAATTTTAGATTCTTTTCATCGAATGTATCTATTCCATTCATAAAACAATGATATGAATGTAAATAGGAATCGGTATTGGATTTATTCATGAATGTATCATTGAATAAAATTGGTTCATTCATATAATGATTAGAAGATCTATTATTCAATAAGATTGTTGATGGATTATGATATAATTGATTCATATTATCATTATCATTTAGATCTAATGGATTATATGGACATTTATGTTGAAATCTTTTTGTCATTGTATTCATATTACATAATTTCATATTAGAATCAATGAAATTCTTATCTTTTATTGTTGTTACTAAACAATGATCTTTACAATCATGAATACAATTTGGTGTATTAGATGTTGGTAAATGTATAAAAGGATCAAATCTATTTAAACATAATTCATCATTATGATTAGTAGTAGTAGTAGTAGTACTAGTAGTCGTAGTCGTAGTAGTAGTTGTAGTAGTAGTATCTTCAATAGGGAGTATAATATCATTATTTAATATTGAATGAATAGATGAATGATTAATCATAGTATTTTCATTTGTAATGATTGTATTCATTCCATTCATTTCATTGGTTTGATTGATTTCATTCATTCCATTCATTTCATTGGTTCGATTGATTTCATTAGTTTCATTAAAGAATTCATTAAATTCATTAAAATGAGATATTTTTGTTAAATGATCATTAGTAGTATTATGATTATGATTAAAATATTTGACGATTAATGCTTGTTGTGCAGCTAAATATTTTGAATTCATTTTTAATTTATCATTAATATCTGTTGAAGGTAATATATTCGATGATAAATAAGTTAATGGATTTATATTAAAATAATCTAATGTTGTATTATTATTATTACTATTCAATTTAGATAATGGTTGTTGTTGTTGTTGTTGTTGTGATGGTGGTGGTGCTGATTGGTGTTGGTGTTGTTGTTGTGGTGGTGGTGGCGGTGGTGGTGGTGGGTGTCGTAATTCTCCATTAAATGTATTACTTATAGTTAACTTATGATGATGATGATGATGATGTTGATGAGGATCAGGAGGAGGTGGAGGTGGAAGAGGAGGAGAAGGAGAAGGATGATATTCATCATTTGTACATGTTATATATCTATGTGTCATTGAATGATTACAATAATCGAATGTAATTGAATTAAAATGATCTATAGGATTAATAGGATTTAATTGTTCTGTAGAATAAATTGAATATTCATTATTATTATTATTATTATTATTAATTTTATCTATATTGTTTATTAATGTAATCGTTTCATCATTTTTATGATTGATTGATTTCTCTATTGATTTACTATTATTATGATTATGATTATCATAATAATCGAATTGTATTGATTTTTGTGGTATACAGGATGATGATGATGATGATGTCATATTATTGATTATAGGAAAATGTTCAATCGAATTAATTGATGTATTATATAAATAATCATGATGTTGATGAATCGTTTGTTTATTTAAATCAATATTTGATGATAAATAACATGGTAATGAATCATTATATTGATTGAATAAATGATCATTATCGATTAAATGAGAATCAGTAATAAATTGTAATTCATTATTTGATGTAGATGATTTAATAGAATAATCAATAAACTGATTATTATTATTATTATATAAATCAATAGATTGTTTAGAATATTCTTTCATTAATTTCAATGATTCTTTCTCATAGATTGATGTTTCATCATTGATGATATAAGATGAATAAGTACCATCAATTTTACGTTTTAAACGTGATGATTTCAATGATGATAAAGATGGATTTTTCTTTAAACTACTACTACTACTAATAGTAGTAGTAGTAGTAGTTGTTGTTGTTGTTGTTGTTGCTGTTGTAGTTGTACACGTTTCATGATCTTGTATACTTTTCATATTATCATCTTTACTCATCCAATTAGTATGATTATTATTATTATTATTGAATGAAACAATTGACGAGGAAGGATAATTTGATGACGAAATCACTTTCGCTTGTTCATATTTATTCTCATATGAATTTATAATATGCTTTTTTACAATTTCTTCCTTTGGCATTATAGTATGATTATGATTATGATAATTCTTTGAAGATTCTATTAAATCATGTTTATGTAAAACATTTTTATTCGTTGTTAAATGTCGAACTTTTTCAAACGATGTTTCTTCTTGAAGAAAATAATTTCGCACATCTTTATCATTAAATGATGAAGATGAAGAGGAGGATGAGAATGAGGAGGAGGAGGAGGAGGAGGAGGAGGAGGAGGAGGACGATAATGACGACGAGGATAAGGATGTTGCTGATGATGATGATGTAACTGGATGCAATTTATTTACATTCAATTGATCAAATTCATGATTATCTAAATTAAACATTTTTGATAAATTCAATGTATCATTTGTATAATTCGTTGATAAAATCAATGAATGATCATCATATTTTGTTAATAATGGATTATATAAATAATCGGTATTACAATGATTATGTAATATAGGATACCATTTAGATGAATTGAATGAATTCGTTTTATGCTGAATGAGATCTGTATTATTCAATGATGTAATAATATTGAATGTTGAAGGTATAATAATATCACAATTAGATAATTCATGGGTATTATAACAATCAGATTGATTGTATAATACATCATGATTATGATGATCATGATTATTTAATTTAGTTACCAAGTCATTTAAACCTTTAGTAAGACAATTAGGTAATAAAGTTGAATGAGTTTCTTCTTCTACTATATTACATTCTGTTGAATAGGATAGTTTAGGATCATTCAATTCGATATTATTATTATTATGTAATATCGGATCAGTATAATGTGTAATATCATCAGTATTAAGTTTATCATAATGATCTTGTTTAGATGATAATTTTAATGACCATTCAGGAAATAATCCATTTGTATCTATATGATCTGATTCATCAATATGTCCTATTGTATTATAATATGAATTATTCGAAGATATAGATGATAGATGTGAATCATTTATATCACATGAATGTATCATTAATGCTGTATTAGATGTTTCATGTAATGAATGGAATGTAATTGGTATAGCCATTTAATATTCATCACTAAATAGAAATTTGAAAAAATATATATTACTGTTAATTAGTAGTAAGTGATAATCATAGAAACAGATCTCAATCAAAAACTTAATAATCTCCACAACCTTTATACTAGTAATCAACATATGCTCACTAGTGACTAGTGAGCATGAGTGAATTCTCGGAGTTCTGGTGAGATCCCGTGACCAGTGGAGCTAATCCATGTCGAGTAGAGACAGGTATCTACCTCAGTACAACGGAAATTGGTCGCACGATTTCGTGGATTGGTCGATGTTAGACACTATCAGCATTGGATACCGGCTAAGTGGTTCAGTTGGTTATACGTTCGCACGTGAGACCGAAGGCCCTGGGTTCGAATCCCGCGAGCGGGATTGTGGATGCACACTGCTTAAGCGTCCCATACTAGGACGAAACAGCCGTCCAGTGCTTCCAGATTTTCAATGGTGGCCGAACATGAATCGGTTCATGATCTCAATCAAAAAATATTTTCAATGTACTTCATTCAATTATTATCCATCGTCAATTTAACATATGATTGAAGCTAGCCAGTGAGAAATCTAAATCCAAACTTCTTGTTTACTGGTATTCGTTATCAAGGTCTAGCAAAAATCTTCAGGCAACTAGCATTCATGTGAGATTGGAACTCGAGTTAAAAAGTATCACTGTCACTGAGGTCACTTTTAATTGATCTCTTGCAGCGCAACAAATAACTTATAACTTGTTATGTAACTCTTTTAACTGATAATTTCATGGGCATTTAAAACAAACCATGTCGAAACGGCCGTGCAGTGCTTTCAGGTTTTCAATTGTGGTGGTCTAACATCAATCGGTTCATGATCTCAATCAAAAACTTAATAATCTTCACAACCCCTATACTAGTAAACAGATATGGAAAGAATGAATAACTACTGGAAAGAGATGGAAAGGATTGCCGAGGACAAGGTTGGATAGAGAATGTTGATGAGAGGTCTATACTCCTTCACGAGGAGTAAAAGGTGTATGTAAGTAAAGTATTCACAATTTATTATTTCTAAGCTATAATAAGTTATTTAATTTAAACGTATATCCACTCTTCTTTCAAATGATTGTGTTTGTTTTTTTACATTTTTCTACCACGTTTTTACTTAGGACTGTTACTTCTTATGGAGGAGAATAGGCCGTTCATTACTATTCTCCATTTAACTTTGTCTTGGATAATCCTTCCCAGTTACTATTTTATCCTTTTCATATATGCTTCCAATTCTTGATGGAGTATGTACTTTGGTCTTTCTCTTTTTCGTTTCCATTCAAGATTTCAAGTGAGCGCTTGCTTTATGATGCAATTTGATAATTTCCTCAATGTGTGTTCTATTCAATTACAATGTCTTTTCGTAATTTCCTATTCAGTTGGAAACTGGTTTGTTCTCTCCTACAGCAGACTATTGGTATCCGGATTTGTCTGAGTAGTTTCGTGAACTATACATACAATTTTTACCTTCAAATGAAAATCTTATATGCCGTTTACCTATACGTATCAACTGGATCCAACGATAGATGTACATTGAATCACTTATGTATTTAGGAATATCATTAAAACCTAATAAATTAATATTATCTTAATAGTTAAAATCATGAGTCATTTGAAGCTAGACCACCATGAAAAACCTGAAAACACTGAAAGGCTGTTTCGTTCTAGTATGAGACTCTTCAACAGTGAGCATTCATTATTCCGTCCCTCAAGATTCGAACCCAGTACCTATCGGTTTCTTGCATGAACGCTTAACGTCTAGAATACTGAGCTGGCATCCAATGGTATTTATGTCTAACTTTAGGTACTCTACGAAATTGAGGGACAATCCACCATTGTCTTTGGTGAGTTACGATCTCACAATAGACCTGGTTGAACTCCACTAGTCACTGTTTCTCACTACAACTCAAGGAAATACCTCTTGAAGTCAATAACTAGGAAGCATATGTTGATTCATATCAGAAAAGGTTTTTGTGGATACTATAGTAGCTTTACTAGTTGAAATCATGCGTCGATTGAAGCTAGATTACCACTTAATATTAGTAAGTAATATATTTTTATTTATTTCATCAAAACCGCCTGAATAAACGAAGTATTCAGTGTATTCTTAGTATTCCAATCTAATCATGATAATCAGGAATTAGCAAGACAGGCTGTCTTCAATTCCTAATAAGTGTATATTTACATAATAATTATGGTATAATCACAATTCAAGAAACTTGGTTATATAGCAATCATTCTTTATTCTCTTTCTCTTTTCTTTGATCTTCATTAACATTCTGCCACCAGACATTCCACTTTCGATTGATGATGCATACTACTTGACATCAGTAGCACACCATACAATTTGACTGACTTATGGGAAGTTCAATTTCTGGTTAACAAAATAATTAGGAGTTTAATTACTATACAAAAAAACGCGTTCGCGCGCGGGACCGAAGACCCTGGGTTTGAATCCCGAGAGCGGGATCGTGGATGCGTACTGTTGAGGATTCCTGCAATAGGACGAAACGGCCGTCCAGTGCTTCCAGGTTTTCAATTGTGGTGGTCTAACATCAATCGATTTATGATCTCAATCAAAAACTTTGTAATCGCTACAACCCCTATACTAGTAAACATGAATAATTCGATTTCGTGTATAAGACAAATATCAACCTAGAATTAAATATTGTTTTGTAAATAAACAACTCCATAACAATCGTCTTCTTATGTTTATGAACCGTTTAGATGGTACAATCATTAGAAATGTATTAAAACTCTTAAAATCTTCGTTGTCAAGATTCAAGACTGAGTTCGCTCAGTCTTCGGAGGATATCCTGATTAAATAGCTAAGTGGATAACCAACTATAGTTCAAATCGATGGACACTTATATGACATGACAGTCTAAGTAATAATTTTACAATGTACGTCTACGTAACCGAAAATGAAAATCTAGTGTTCGATTACATTGCTGTCTAATACTGAATTATATAATCAATGGAAATGTCTTTCATTTTTAAAAAAATATTCTGGTAAATAAAAAACGATTAATCGTTCCTATTACAGTTAACTGTCATGATTGATGTCTGTTAAATAAGAATACAGTTTGACTTCTTAAAGTGCTGGCAGCGTCACTGATGAACACGGTGGATTTGATGCAAATGTGAAGGAGTGGATCGGCAAAGCATATCTACAAGTGAACAACAAAAGAAACTCAAAACAACTGTCCACAATCCAATACCAAGGTGAGAATCTTCAATACAAATGTCAAGACAGTTCTACTGTATGGGGCGAAAACCTGAAGAACTACGAAAGTCATTATCCAGAAGAAACAAGTGTTTATTAACAGTTGTTTATGCAAAATACTTCGGGTCCGTTGGACAGACATTATTAGCAACAACCAACTGTTGGAGTGAACAAACCAGATCCCAGCGGAGGAAGAAATTAGGGAGAAGCGCTGGAAGTGGATAGGACACATATTGAGGAAAGCATTCAATTGTGTCACAGGGCAAGCCCTCACATGGAATCCTCAAGGCCAAAGAAGGGGAAGAGAAAGACCAAAGAACACATTACGCCGATAAATGGAGACAGACATGAGGAAGATTAACAAAAATTTAGTAGAACTGGAAAGGAAGGTCCAGAATATAGTGGGTTGGAGAATGCTGGTTTGCAGCCTATGCCTTATTGGGAGAAGGTAGAATCAGATTCAATAATAAGTAACTAAAGGTGATACAGTAAGGTAAATGAATGATAAACGTTATTCCATTATTTGTTCTTAATTAACTCTCAAGAGATAGTACAGAACCATAGAACAATATTTAACCGTACAGATATATAAATTAAACGTAACAATTTGTTAACATCCTTGTTGAATGAATTTAATCGGGATTGTGATATTATTGTGACAGCATTTAACATTTCGTCTGATAAGTGTTAAGTTTGATTATCGTTGGATAGAACTAGAAAGGAAGGCAGAGTGGTTAACCAAATAGTAACAATAACTAAACTGTAACGTGTAACTCAAAACTGAGTATGAGAATATCATATTGGGTAAATGAATTAAATCATTGTCAAATCAACTTTACTGGTAATTAAAAACATTTGTTATACAACAAATAGGAAAACTGATATTTATTTTGATTCATATCATGAACCGATTGATGTTAGACCACCACAACTGAAAACCTGGAATCACTGGACGGCCGTTTCGTCCTATCGTGGGACTCCTCAGCAGAGCGCACCAACGATCCCGCTCGCGGGTTTCGAACCCAAGGCCTTCGGTCTCGCGTGCGGACGCTTAACCAACTGGACCACTGAGCCGGCATCCAATGGTGATAGTTTCTAAAAGTTAGGCGTTCTGGGTTCAAGGTTCGAATCTTGAGAGGCGGTATTGTGGATTCGCACTGCTGAGAAGTTCCACAATAGAAAAAAACGACCGTCCATTGCTTTTAGGTTTTCCATGATGGTCTATCTTCAATTGACTCATGATCTCAACTATTAAAAGCATTATAATATCCATAAAAACTCCTTCTGATATTGACATTTATCTATTTGATGGTAATACTCATCACTAATTAATATCAATGAACAAATCATTAATAAAACAATTGAGACTTTGACATTTGAACATGACATAGTGCTCTTCATTTACTTAAACTGTACATTCGTACTTATACTTGTTTGGTAGAAAGATGATTCGAGATTTCATTTATCAAAAGAGATTACGTAATAGTCAAGTGGGTTACATATACTAATCAGAAATGGCTATCCGCCTAGATTCGTCGATAGAAACTTAACATTAAGCAATATCCTGAAAAAAGTATTGACAGTTCAAAAGAAAACTGTTTTAATGAATGACATATTTAAAGCCGATACAGCTACTGAAATGTTGAATAAACTGATTTGAAAATCCTTGAATAACAAATACGTTCTATTCAGATAACACTCGTATT